AAGGCAGTCGCTTAACCAACTGAGCCACCCAGGCGCCCGAATATTTCATCTCTTTAACTACATTATATGCTCTTTGAAGACGGGGATGGTTTTAATCATCATCTTCATTTCCACTGCACAGGGACAACACATGCCAGAGACTTCCGGTAGAGAAGGTGAGGCTATCAGAGTCCCCCACCATCCTGGCCTGCGAGTGGGGGGCAGCCCTCGGCAGCCATTCAATGTGAGGGGAGAAACCAGCCTTCGCACCTTGTCACACACACACCCCCCACCACACAGCTACAGTTGACTGGGCTTTTATTCTTCCGAGAATGTGTCCCCATTTAAATTCTCCCCATCCCGGGGTGCCCGGGTGGCTCAGTCGTTAAGCGTCTGCCTTGGGCTCAGGTCATGGTCCCAGGGTCCTGGGATCGAGCCCCGCATCGGGCTCCCTGCTCCGCGGGAAGCCTGCTTCTCCCTCTCCCACTCTCCCTGCATGCGTTCCCTCTTTCACTGTGTCTCTCTCTCTGTCAAATAAATAAATAAATAAATAAATAAATAAATAAATAAATAAATTCATTCTCCCCATCCCTGTGAGGGGCCAGAAGGGTGAAGTAGAAGGCATATTGGAACATGCCTTTTCCCCCAACCTTCTGTCTCCCAGACACAAGGGATCAGGCTCGGGGGGCTGGTGGAGGCAGACAGAGCAAGTGGCACAGACCTGGAGCCCCCCCTCCACCCATGCTGGCCGCGGATCAGAGCCCACGCTTCTGCTGCGAGTTTGAGCAAGGCTGTTCTGAATTCCTGGCAGGCAGCTGGGACTGAGTGCAGTGTCCCTGCTCCCTCTGCCCAGAGGGTGCTCAGAGCGTTAATTATACCTCCCCTCTGGATCTGTTGGGGGGTCCCTAATTACCCTCCTCAGAGGGCAGCGGCTGCTAGATGATTTCCCAAACACCTACGGTGCTTTTAAAATCAAAGCCTCCTGTTGGCTGTACCGGACCCTAAAAGGAAGCAAAATGGGCTGGCTGGAGCCATCGCTGAAGAAAGCCCAAAGGCCCCCAAGACAGGGTCTAGACAGGAAATCCTGGCCAGCTGCCTCCCAGGAGCACCTCCAGAATCGGCTTCTCACCAGGAACACCAGGGAACAGGGTGGTAGGAGGAAAGGGACCCTTGGGAAAGGGCAGCTCCAGTCTTGCCTCTTATGTGCTGAGAGGGGGCCATGGAGAATCGTGGCAGTGCTGGTTTCCTGTCTCCTCAGAGCAGTGATCCCTTATGACTCACACAATGGTGCACCACATGGAGACCAGGTCTGACGACTGAGGACACGTCCCTCCATATCCAAATGGAGCTGAAACCATCCCCCCCACTGCAGGCTCTGACAGAAAAGCCATTTATTTTTTTATTTTTTTATTTTTTTATTTTTTTAAAGATTTTATTTATTTGAGAGAGAGAGAATGAGAGACAGAGAGCACAAGAGGGAAGAGGGTCAGAGGGAGAAGCAGACCCCCTGCCGAGCAGGGAGCCCGATGCGGGACTCGATCCCGGGACTCCAGGATCATGACCTGAGCCGAAGGCAGTCGCTTAACCAACTGAGCCACCCAGGTGCCCCAGAAAAGCCATTTAAAGATATCTGTTGAGCCCATCTAATTACTGATTTGTGAGCCCTTCTGATAAAACTGAGTCTCCACTCCTGGGTATTCTTTAAATATACATTTTTTTTTTTTATTCTAGAAAGTTCTGACTTTCGCCCCATCCACTCCACTGAAACTTTCTTGAATTCAGATCACCAGTATCATGTTATGGGCCCCAGAGCCTCTCTTGCTTGGACACCCAGGGCTCATCTCAGCTGAGGGCAGGACCCCTGCCACCACCTCCTTCCCCATGTCTGCTCTCCTTCCCCCCCACCCCCGCCGGGAAGGGAGCCTCCTCTTTGTTCTCATCCCCCCTTCTCCAGGGCTCCTCTTGCTCCAGAACCTGACAGAAGACACTGCAACTTCCCAAATTCTCCTCTGCCCTGTGGCTTCTGAAACACATCAGTATGTCCTCTGTTTTCAAAAGGGCTTGAGGGACAAGTGACCATAAGGAAGCAGCAGGTTCTCGGTTTTCATTCCAAAGTAAGAAAGTGGGTGAACTTTCTCAGCTGCTGTCGTGGCCTGGCCCTCATTTCTGGCCCCGGGGGCAGCCTTGCCAATACAAACATCTTTCTTTTACTTTCCAGGCAGGTGTTTCAGAAGGAAGCCTCCCTGTGTCCCCATTTCAGTCCTAGGTGCTGCAGCTAGGCAGGTGTTAATGACAGGAAATTCCATCCCATAAAAGACTGCTCGTTTACATATCAGAGAAAACCCCCTTCTGTTGCCTCCCCTCTGGGTGACTCTGCTTTTGTCTTCCTCTGGCAGTCTCAGCCTCTGACTGGAAAATCAATCAAGCCATTCCTTATTTATGACCCGCCCACCCAGAAGTGAACTTCTACGGTTTGGCTTGTGTCTGCAATTTCTTTAAGGTTTTGTTTTTTTTTTTTAAGATCTTATTGATTTAGAGAGAGAAGAGGAGAGAGAGAGAGAGAGTGTGTGTGTGTGTGTGTGTGTGTGAGTGGGGGTAGGGGCAGAGGGAGGAGAGAATCTCAAGCAGACTCCCCACTGAGTGCGGAGCCCAATGAGGAGCTCAATTCTACGACCCTGAGATCATGACCTGAGCTGAAATCGAGTCAGACGCTTAACCGACTGAGCCACCCAGGCGCCCCTAAGATTTTATTTTTTAAATGATCTCTACACTCGACATGGGGCTTGAAGTCACAACCCCGAGATCCAGAGTCGCCATGTTCCACCGACTGAGACAGTCCCATAGAGGAAAGGGTACTGCTGTCAAAATGCAGAGCTCGGAAGGTTTAAAACACTTAATATGTATTTGGTAAACAGATTCTGGATTAATTGATCAAAAGCTGCCGGGTATTTGGGCTTCTTAACTTTTCATCTGCCTGGATCTGTGATAGTGCTTAAGTCAGTAAAAAGGGCAATTCAAATGCTAAATGGGGAGTTACATCAGCGGATATCAAGACCATCCCTAGAATCTCCCACTGCCTCCCTTCAGTCTGAATTGTCTCACCTTGACCTCCCAAATGGGTCTACCTTCTCTATTTAGAGAGACTGTTCCAGGTCATCCAAATGGACACCTCCCAGGTTACACTGTTGGGCCAACTTCCCGAATTACATAGAGAACAATTTCCGAGTTGCCTGGCTTTATTTTACATTCTGTGCTAAACCACTTACATCCCCACCAAATCTTGTAGGGAGGGATTCCGTCCCCGACCACAAATCCTTGAGCAGTGGCTGAAATCAGCTAGGACATCTATGCCCCCAAAAGACACTGTGGAGCTCCCAGAATCCTCTGGGCCAACCAGAGCTGCATCCACTCTGCCATTTAGGGCTGTTTCCATACGCCCTTCACCTGCACCTGTTATGAAGCTGGCCTTCTGCATTGTCAGCAGGGGCTTGGCGTCTCTGGCATCGTAGCCACGTTAATTCTAATCCTTAGCACCAGAGTAATTGGCTTGATTTCAAATGTATGGCTATTGCTGAGATTCAGCCACTGGATCAATGAAATTCCAAGTTCTCATCACTACTCTGTTGATAGTGGTAATGAACTTGAGTTTGGCTCCTATGTATCGAGCTTTTGACTAGATGAGGGAAAATTTGTTTTGCATAGTTACGTCAAGTTGGGGTGGGAAAGCCTTCCTTCCAAAATAGTGGTATCTTGTCTCCTTATCCACAGAGGAGAACCGCTGGGCTTCAGGGAAGGCTCCAGAGTGAAAGGATCCCGGATGGCGTGCTGTCTTCGGGTGGAAAGAAACAAGAAGGCACTTGGGGGAGAGGGCATCTCTGCACATGGCTGACCATCGGAACTGGGGTTTTGTCTTCCAGGGTTATCTGTCAGAAGGGCTGGTAACCAAGTGGTACCGCTCACCGCGCCTGCTCCTCTCCCCGAACAACTACACCAAAGCCATCGACATGTGGGCCGCCGGCTGCATCCTGGCCGAGATGCTCACGGGGAGGATGCTCTTTGCTGGTAAGTCACTAACCATGCCATCTTCCTTCTCCTCTGGTGTCGTTCTATAAAAAGGGAGAACTGATTGAAAGAAAAAAAACCCCACAAACAAACCAAAAAACCATGCTAACCACAAAACATCCTAGTCTTTCTCTTTAAAATGACCTGTATGGCTTTATGGACTTACTTGGAGGCCCCTTATCATTTCTCGCAAAATACTGGAAAGGCTAAAAATAGCCTTTTGAGGGCAGAACCTTTAAAATCAAGTAACTACTTCTGTTCAGACACCTTGAGATTGACTGCTGGAAACATCCATCCTACATTTTCAGCCCCTTCCTCTTCTCTCCCTGCCACTGTGAGCGGTCAGTCTGGAGTGTTCATTTGGCGAGGGGACCCCACAAGGGGCTCCCAGAGTCCCTGAACTGACCCTCCATGAGCCCACTCAGCGGGGGAGGCTGAAGGGACCACTTCCGCGCAGAGCCTGAGTCGTAGACCCCTGCTGGGGCAGCATCCGCTCGGTGCTCCACCGGGTGTCGTTGGGGGACACGGAGGAGCCCCAGCATAGGCCGCCGGCTTCTGGCAGATTGGAATCCTGTAGGAATCGGTGGTATGGGGAGGACCCTCTGAGCAGCTAGATGAATCTGGGGACTTCTCAAAGATAGAAAGTCTTCGTTAAGGATTTAAACTGGTAGAAGTAAGTGGAAAGGCTACTCAAGCAAAAAGGGAAAATGGAAGCAATGGGAGTAAGAACAGCCTGTGGGTCGAGGGGGACAGCGAGGGGAGAGACCTGACGCCCACCAGCAGCGCCAGAGCGCTGAGAGAGCGTCAGGGCGGCAAAGACGAGTTGCGTTTCTGAGACTCATAAAGACTGAAGCTTCTTATGGCCGAGCATCCAGCCTGATGCCTGGCAGGGAGAAGGTGCTCAGTAAGTCATTATTTAGTGAGGGAACGAAGGAGCAAAGGAGAATAAACGCCTGACTCCATCCTGTCCCAGCACACTTCTTCCACGGACCTGGCATAGCCTGTCTGGCTGACTCAGTCTATATCAGACGGGTCCATTCCAGAGGCAGAGACATTTCATAAAGCCAAGCCCCAGAGATGGCAAGCAACCTGCTTATAGTCACACAGCAAGTTAGTGGCCGAGTGAGGACCAGAACCCAGGTCCCCTGGCACCCAGTGCTGCTCCCAACGGCCGGCGCCGCCCCTCCCCGGCCTCCCAGAACCACACTGGGGCTTCCGTCACCCCAGCCACTTGGGCAACACACTTAACCATCTGGTGTTTGGCTCCCCAGGGGCTCACGAGCTGGAGCAGATGCAGCTCATCCTAGAGACCATCCCTGTGATCCGGGAGGAGGACAAAGATGAGCTGCTCAGGGTGATGCCTTCCTTCGTCAGCAGCAGCTGGGAGGTGAAGAGGCCGCTGCGCAAGCTGCTCCCCGAAGTGAACAGCGAAGGTACCTCGGCCTGCAGCATGGCCAGCCTCCGGGAGGCTGCGCTCTGGCTTTGCCCTGGGGGGCCGGGCGGGTGGTCTCCTTCCGGAACGACCAAGCCTAGTTCCAGACAGAGAGGCCAAGGCCACGCCACTGTGGCGGGAATTTGCCCTAGCTACTTCCGGACTGAGCGTCATTGGCTCCCGGAGTTTGGCCATCAGGCAACTCTCCAGGCCGTGCTTGGTGGTCTTCCAGAGTCTACCCCCATCTTTGCTTCCTTTTCCTCCTCGTCTTTCTCACTTGCCTTCCTCCCTCTCCTCCTTCATCTCCCTCTCCCTTGTTCCCCTTGATGATGTGGTGCAGAGAACATGAGTTTTACCAGCTTGAGACCCAGACCCAGACTCAATTCCCAGGTGCATCGGGAGTAGCTGTTTGGCCTTGAGCAAGTTTCCTAACCTCTCTGCATCTCAGTTTCCTTAACTGTAAAAGGGGTACAGTAATTCATGTCACATGGGGACATTGTGACGGGTAAGTAAAACAGAATGTGTAAAGCCCCGGGCAGAGGACAGTTGCTCCATCATCTTAAATGTTAACATTAGGGGCGCCTGGGTGGCTCAGTCAGTTAAGCATCTGCCTTCGGCTCAGGTCATGATCTCAGGGTCCTGAGATCGAGCCCCACATCGGGCTCCGTGCTTGGCCGGGAGCCTGCTTCTCCCACTCCCTCTGCCCCTCCCCCTACTCGTGCTTGTTCTCTCTCTCAAATAAACAAAATCTTTAAATAAAACTTCAGCATTATCACTGGGCCTCATACCTACCAGAGGCTTCCCTACCTATGTTAGGTAGGATACAGGTTCAGCCAGTTGGAGGAGACACCCAAATTCTTAGTGGCTTAAATAAGATTTATTTCTTATTTAAGAAAAAAGAAGTTAAGAAGCGTATTTCTCTCTTCTATAATAATCACAAAGCAGATAGTCCAGGGCCAAGACAGTGAGCCTGCTGTACAAAGTCATCCAGGGGCCCAGGCCCCTTCCATCTTCTTCAACCATCCTTGGGTACTGCCCTTGCTACCTGGAGGAAGGTGGGGAAGGAGGGCAGGTCCGCTTGCCCTTAAGGTCATGAGCCGGAATTTGGACACCTCCCTTCCACTCATGTTTTATTGACCAGAACTTAGTCCCGTGGCCCCAGCTCACTGCAGTGGAGGTGGTGAAATAGGTATTTATTCCCCACCACTTGGTGTCCATTATTACGAATGAGACCATCAAGAAACCAAGAACTTGGACCAGCAGTGTCTTCTAACAGTGTCCTTGGCCATGATCCCCACTCAATCATAAGCTGCCTCAGTTTTCTCTTCATTAAAGGGGAGGAGGGATCATTTCATTCACCACAAATTAAGACTCAGCCCATCTATATTTGTGTCCTAGGGCCCTGTAGAAATCCCACCATGAGACAAGAGGTGCATTCACCTCTCAGGAATTCTGGATCAGGGACGTGTCACCCCCTCCCATCCCCCAAGCAACCACACACACAGCAGCCCCTCGGTGCCTTGGCTGTCAGAGTGGTGGGCTGTTTCTCAGCAAAATCAGAGTTGGTCCCGATAGGAGATAAAGCTCCTCGCTGTCGTCAGCAGCATCCCCCGACGTGTATTAAGCCACCACAGTGCTAGAGATGGAAGTTCAGAGACAGGACAGGTGCACTCGCTGGGAAGATGGTGAGAACAAAGAGGTGAGGTGAGAACAAAGACATCCTAAGGGGCCAGCAAGAGCCCCGGGTATTTGGGGGAGAGGAAGGGAGCAGAGAGGGACAGAGAAGCTGGCCAGGGGGACATGCTGAGGCCCGGATCAGCAGGACGAGTCACAGACCTGTTGGTAGGAAGTGAGGCTGGAGAGGTGAGAAAGGCCGAGAGGCCAGTGAGTTTGGACTTGATCCTGTAGCTGAACAGGTGTTCACTAAAGCGAGGCTTGCTCCACTCTCCCGATGTACCAAAACTCAACTCCAACCAAAACTCTCTCGCCGGCCTCTGGCCTTGAAAAGAGGTCTCCAGCTGACCTCTGGCTTTGGGAGAATGAGGGGTCCCAGGAATTAAAATATCGGTGGGGGGAGGGCACCAAGCCCACCCACCCAGGAGAGCCGGCTGGTGACCTGCAGTCCCTCCTTCTGCTGTACATCAGAGGCCCCACAGGCCTAGGAAGAGGCAGAATGTCTCTCTGGCTGTAGCCCCCAGAGGCTCAAAGGGCAGCCTGAGTGACTGTCCCTCAGCAGCTGACACAGCCGCCGGAGCTGGATGAGGGAGACAGGCCCCGAGACCATCATATCGAGGCCTCACTTCTGAGGTCCATTTAATCTACGAAGTAAATGTGTCACAAGTAACAAATCTGATGAGGAAACCTAATACGGAAACAAGTAAAAGGAGTGCTCTGGGTGAAGCAGGGTCGGGGACCTCAGGGCCCACCTGCCTCTCAGTCTCCAGAGATGCCCCTGAGGATCCTTCCAGAACCCTGGGGGCTTGGGGAAGTCCCGTTTGAGTTCACTGGGCCACAGGAAGGTGACAGGATGGTACGGAAGTCTCATTATATTAGAAATGCCTTCAGAACATGTGGGGAGGTTGAGCCCAGAGAAGAGGAGTTGGGGATTGGGGAGGGTATGGTGGTTTCTGTATTGAGAAAAACAAAGCTAGTGCCATGGCAGATAAATCTGGAACCTCCAGGGTGACCCTGCTAGCAGTGTATGCACGGCTCACCTCCAGTCCGGACAGAGTGGGGGAGCCTGGGGCTCTCCCAGGACCCAGCTTGTCAGAGAAGTGTCTGCCATCTTCAACACACAGCTTTCAAGGTCCCCCTTGGACACCCACTTCTGGCCGAAGCCAGGGGAAGAGAGGGCAGAGACTCTTGCAGGAGGCTTTTATGCATCCAGCCTGGAAGTGGGGTCCACACATCACTTCCTCCCCTGCTCGCCAGGCCCCAGTCACACAGCACATCGAACTGCAGGGCGCACTGGGAGATGCAGGCCAGTGTGTGCCAGGCAGAGGGGCCTTGCACAGGACCTGGCTGCTTGCTGCGCCCTTGAAACCTGAGGGGACCGATCCTGGGGAAGAGAGAACATGCCGACATGGGGGACTCGCAGAGGGCAGAGCTAGGCCCGGGGGTAGAGGTTAAAGAGGGTAGATTTAGGTTAGAGACAAGAAGGGATTTTCTAATATTTGGGCTTCCGGAAGCGTCTGGCACCTGCTAGAAGACCAGCTGTCAGGAAGAGGAAAGAGGAGACTCGTTTTTACTAGAGTCAGTGGGGTAGACTTCGGGGTTGGCACTTTCCAACTTCAGGGTTCGCTGGGTCTTTGTTAAAAATAGTGATGCTGGTAATGATGCCTGCCCACGTTTAGAGCTTCAACTCTCTCCTGTCCTTGTCAGAAGGTCCAGAGTAATAGGCTGGGCCGAGGGAGGGCGGCAGCCCAAAGAGGGCAAGGCTTGCCCAGCCTGGAGCCAGACAGGGCCAGAGCAGGCTGTGCACTGCGGAGCCTGATTCTTCCAGGCCCTTCCCATCTGTGAGGCTCTTTCAGGTCTCCAGCCCTGACCCAGAGGCACCCCCTGAGCCTCGGCGCTCTCGTTGGTGATCAGAGCTCCTGCTGCTTTATGGATCCTTCGGTCTAGGCATACAGAGCAGCACCACATCCTCCTGGGGGGCCGTGACCTTCTGAATCCGTCAATTTCCTGAATCATTGATGAATTTTCCTGCAAAGAGACCCAGGGCTGGTGTGAGGGGCAGGGTCGTGGTTGCGCCTTGAGGCTCTTGAGATCTTGAGGCTCTCTCCCTTGCCACAGGGGAGGTAACACGATTAGCCAAGTTGTGATTTAAGTGGAGCCTCCAGCACTGAGAGGTAATGCAAACCTCCAGGCTAGACCTTGCCCTGAGATAACCCAGCGCAGAGCCCACAAGGCAGATGGCTGCCCCTACCCCCGCTTGGGAGAAAGGACACCAGTTCCGTGCGCAGAGCTGATCTGTAGCCAGTGTGCACCCACACAGCCCGATTGGCTGCCGAAATTTCGATATACTTTCATGCAGGTTGGCAGCCAGCCACCACACAAGGCTTCAGAGTGTCCCTTCCTGTCCCCAGGTTCCAGCTGCCTAGGACCTCCCCTTGATCTAGACCCTAGTCCCCAGGAGGGCTTCAGCTTGGTGGTTAAATATTTTAATATCAAGCCCACCTGCCCTTGTTTGTCAAACCTCCAGGAGCAACCTATGGTAGGAAGGCTGGACTCGGGAGCCCTGGGCTAACAGGCCGTGTCACACCTGCCTCACCTTTCGGTGACCTGCCTCACAGGCTCCTCCACCCACCCCAGCAGCCCGCAATCCGCAACAAGTGGGAGTGGGTGTAGAGACACCTCGGCTGCCCCCGACCCCACGAATGGAGTCACCTCTGAGGTGTGTCCCATGCTGTCTTGTAGAGGGTGCCTCCCCACCCCGCAGTGGGACCGAGCGCCAAGTGCCCACAGGAGGAACCTGCTCATGCGCACATCCCGTACTGGCTTCTTCCCCCCTCCCCTGCCTGTGCTTCCAGGGACGGTCACCACACAGACTATCTACAGCGCAGTCTCTGTCCCTGGAGAAATCCAGCGTAAGGCAGACTTTAGCCCCGCACCTGCTCTTAACCAACGGCAACTTGAGCAAGTCACTTTACCCCGCTGGGCCTCTGTTTATTCATTTGTGAAGTCAAAAAAGCAGTATCTGCTCTGAATTCATCACTGGATTGTGATGAGGGTCACAAGAAAGGAGAATGGCTAAAAACCTTTTTACAAATGGGAAAGTACAAAAAAATGTCTCTGCTAGGCAGGGCAGTGAATGACCTTCATGCCCTGTTTTGCTCCCCGCAGCCATCGACTTTCTAGAGAAGATCCTGACCTTTAACCCCATGGATCGCCTAACAGCCGAGATGGGGCTGCAGCACCCCTACATGAGCCCATACTCATGCCCCGAGGATGAGCCCACCTCACAGCACCCCTTCCGCATTGAAGATGAGATCGATGACATCCTGCTGATGGCTGCCAACCAGAGCCAGCTCTCCAACTGGGACAGGTGGGGTTCCAGGAGCCTCCAGCCCTGGAGTCTAGAATCCACGTTCTCATCCTCCCATTTCTGTTTTGCCTCTGATCCTCCATGACCTTTCCCTCTGTCTCCCAAGCTCCATATCCCATGGGGTGCTTTCCCCCATTAGCTTCCTGCCTTTCTCTCTTGTCCCCAGGCACTCCCACTAGATGAGCATGTGTGGGTCAGGGGCCTTCCTTTGTGCGGCCCAGCCACTACCCCTTTCCTCCCCACCCTGAGTATACCAGAGCCAGGGCTCAATACAATGTTCAGCGACATTTAAGGAGTACCCATCACTGGAACGCACTTCTAGCAGACTGGGAATCTGCCCTAGAAAGGTAGACGGTGCCAGTGCACGACAAGGAGACAATGTGACATTTATTACCGCATAACACTTTCCCAGGGTCCTCATCGTTGGCACCTCCCAAGAGTGCCATTAAGGGGAGTACCATTATTATTACTGCCCAGGGACACATGACGGAGCCACAGCTCAGAGAGGGTAGAGACTAGCACCTTGCCACACAGCTAATGCCTGCCTCGTGGGGGGCCTCCTTGATCTGCATCTATGTCAGATACTGCTGAGCAATCACAGGACTCTTGCCTGCTAAACCGGGCCGGGCCTCCGAATCCTTCCCCACACGGTGTGCCCGGAAGTCACTACCAGTGATTCAGTGTTGGGTAGAACCCACAATTTTTAACAATCTCCGTGTAGGCATGTTGGGATTTTTCGGGTCCCTTCCTATTCTGATGTTGAGATCAGGCAGCTAAACATTTGGGCATCACCATCTGCTAATCCGGGGAGGGAGAGCCGAGAGCGGCTCAGTTTAGAAATAGAAGTCAGGGGCTTAGCAGCTAGGACTCCGAGGGTGCCTAAGTGGGAGCCCCGCTGCTGTGGGAATGTGACAGCTAGTTACATAAGTGACAGATGAGCAAGTTCTCCTTTTCAGTCATTTGACAGATGATAGGTTTCAGAGTGAGGAGGCACGGAGGGAGGGCCAGGGCAGCGCTGCTATTTTTGGACAGGTTTGTGGGTTTGTTGTTGTCAGTTGTTGTTATCAAGAGTTGCCAGCAAATAGAGATTAATGAAGACTCTTCCTTCTGCTGCCCCCATGCTTTTCCCGCCCTTGACTGTGGTCCCTGCAGCCCCTCCCCCTCCGCTCCACGGCGCTTGAGGGCACAGAGCGCTGGCCCAGAGAGGCCCATCCCATGCTTATCATGGCTGTGGTGCAGGGCTGGGGCCAGGAAAACTGTCGCAGGGTTTCTTTGGCCACTGCCCACCAACTCTGACCATTTCTAAACCTGACACACTTCTGCTCCTGACTTTCCCATCACACCTGCATGAAGGAGATGGGCAGTCCATGGGCAGCCTCCTTCCTACAGGCCCTCCTGCTTTGGGCAAATGGCTTAACCTTGGATGAGCACCAGCATCCTTATCTGTAAGGCAGCGTGATCATCCTAACTCCACAGAGTCTCTGTGAAGACTTCAGAGAACCAATGTTTGGCCTTCGGTGTGTAGCAGCCAGGGATTAGGGTCTTTGCAAGTTCTTCCTCCTAGAAATCTCTGCGATTTCTAGGACCCTTGTGGGAGGAGGCGGTGTTTGCCTCTGTGGGTGACTCCTGCGCTCATGGTGTCACTGGGCAGTGGGCAGGCAGTCCTGGGGCCTCCCTGTGCCTCGCAAACCACATCGTGTGGACCGCTCTGGGCGCCTGCCCTTTCACAGCCAAACCTGCCTGTCCTAGGTGGATTGGCTTTTCCCGTGTGAGCATGAGGCATCCTGTACCATGAGCAGCTGGTCGTTGGCTCCCTCCACACGGTTCTGCATAGAGCACCTGGCACAGGGAGGAGAGGGCCCAGCTCGAGCTGATGGCCCGCACACCTGCCCTTCATTTGCTCTTGGCTGGCTGACTTTGCTCTCCCTGGCTGCAGGGCAGTTGACAGAAGGCAGAATTCCAAGGATCTCTGGCCTCTCCTGAGGGTGTCTAGAATCTTTCCACTTACACTGCACTGATGCAGAGTGCTGGGGGGGGGCATCTAACCAGACCCACTAAGGCAAGAGATCTTAGCCCTGACTGTACCTTAGCATCACCTGGGGATGTGTTAAAACCGTGCTGATGCAGAGCCCCAGTCGAGACCTGCTGAATCAGGATGTGGGGTGATTCTAGTCTGAACCAGGCCTGAGAAGCACTCAAAAGGGCCCTGCTACTCAAAGTGTGGTCCCCGGACCAGCAGTATCAGCATCACCTGGGAGCTTGTTAGAAACACAGAATCTCTGGCCCCACCTCAGAGCTACTGGATCAAGAGCTGCAACTCAGCGAGGGCCCCAGGCGATTTGCGTGCAGGTCAGAGTTTGAGGAGCGCTGCACTGGTGGGATCCGTTTGAAAGGAGGTTCCAGGAGGACAGGGACTTTGTTGTTTTGTTCACTGCTGTGCCTGGCAGTGCCAGCGCCTGGCACACAGTAAGGTGCTCAAGAAATAGCTGTAGGGTATTGAATGAGTACAGAAGAATACAGGGGTTAAGCCAAAAAAATCAGTCCCTCCACCGGAACCCCGGGGAGCGGGGAGCGGTCACAGGACCAGAGGGACAGGGAAGGAACGGAAAGGCAGTCTGTGCGTGGCAGACAGGGATGAGGGGGCTTGGCTCCCTCGGGGAAGGCACCTCACCCGCGGGTCCAGTCGCCCACCATTCCGTCTGTCTGCGCCCTTGCAGGTACCCTGTGAGCCTGTCATCGGACCTGGAGTGGAGGCCGGACCGGTGCCAGGACACGAGCGAGGTGCAGCGCGACCCGCGCGCGGGCTCGGCGCCCCTGGCGGAGGACGTGCAGGTGGACCCGCGCAAGGACTCGCAGGGCAGCTCGGAGCGCTTCCTGGAGCGCTCGCACTCGTCCATGGAGCGCGCCTTCGAGGCCGACTGCGGGCGCTCCTGCGACTACAAGGTGGGCTCGCCCTCCTACCTGGACAAGCTGCTGTGGCGCGACAGCAAGCCGCACCACTACTCAGAGCCCAAGCTCATCCTGGACCTGTCGCACTGGAAGCAGGCGGCCGGGGCGCCCCCGAGCTCCGCGGTGGCCGCCGACGCCGGGCCGCACGAGGACGAG